TGTATACACATGTCCATATATATTTGTATGCATACTCATATATGTATATTCACACTTTTATTTATACACATAATATTTATTTTGTGTGTATATATGTAAAAATATATAAATAAAATTAAGAGTAAAAGGATGAAATGTGGACCAAGGAGAGGAATTGAAATGTCTCATTTTAGCTATAAGTAAATTTCTGCAATTATTGTTAAGTTTCACAAGATCAATGATTGCTGTTAGGCTTCATAGAAGATGCAGATTTCTGTGATGGCAGGAATAAGTGTACACTGGACACACTGAAAGCGACGTGTGCTTTATTTTTGGCACTGACTTAAATATGTGGCCAAAAAAACCACAAGAGGAACTGAGTGGGAATCAAGAGTATTGGGGCTTGCTCTGTTAATTTTTGTGGTGGTTGATTTTTAAGAAATACATGACTGCGAGGAATAGGAATCCTCCTGGGACCTCAACATGTATGTCTGATAAAGCATCAGAGATTCTTTAGGCACATTTCCTACTTATTTTTAGAAAGCCTGTAGGAAACAATACTCTGCAAACTTCTTTTCCCTCCTTTTTTCCCCTCCCAAGGCCAGCTATCCCATTTTCTCTTTCTGAAGTGATGACAGCAAAATATGGGGAAAGATCTGTCTCATGCTACCAAGGTTAGGCCTCGCTGAGGTAGTTTTATTACCCTTCAGAGTATCTCTTACACTTTATTTGCTCCAATTTGGGTGGCAGAATTTCTAGCTGTTATTTTCCCCGCCTTGTTCTGCTTTCTTTAATAGTTCCAACTTGTGTCCTGTTTCTGTTTCGCTTTACACAACCTTATCCTATTTCCTGGCTTACGGGCAGCTGGATAAACCAGGAAAGTCCCTTTTCTCTCAGTATTTAAATTCTTCAACTCTTGTCCACGTGTCATGTTCTGTTTAAGCTCTTGAATAAATACTGGATGAGCAGGATGCTCGTTTCCAAAGAGAAGCAGAAGTTGCTTTGCTTTATCATTAGTATTGAGCCACACGATGCACCAGGCACTGCACTAGAGAAGAAGAATAATTGTGAATGAGGACAGGGCTGTAATTAATGTACTTAGCAGCTGAACTTGGCATGGTGTAATCAAAAATCAGTTTTCTTTTTGGCTTTGCTACTGACTTCACAAGATGCGGCAAACGTACAGGTTGCCTTGTGTATAAATCCAAGTTGTTTTAGGTTATAAAGGTTATACTGTATGTATGTAAAAATACAGGTTTGTATAAGGTGGAGCAGAGACTTCAGATATGAATAATCAGTGGTTGCACTTCAGTTGTCCTGCATTTTAACATATTAACATATTAAAGATTAATACTGTACTGCTGCATAATTCATTTCTCCTAGGTGTTTTTAAAGAAAATAAACTGTTTTTCTATTCTTTTTTTTTGTTTACAGTGAGCCCATACTTTATATTTTCACACCTTCTGTGTACTCCTTAGTTGTAAATTGTAATAGTCCAAGAACTTTTGTTTTTCCCAAAGTAGGACCAGTTTTACACAGAAGGTGATATATTTCTGACCTGTAACACAATTTCCTAAAACTGTATTAGCTACCTCTAGTATATTGTATTTGCTGAAGGACCAGAAGAGAACAAATTTGATAAAAAAGGGAAAAAAAGTCAGAAATTGTAATGTATAATCTTGTAATGCAATAGCAAATAATAAAATTAAATAATTTTGAACACTGGCAAAAATTTAGGCATTGAATGTGTGCTGAGATTTGTCTTTAGTACATTAAATAATTGGAATAGAGGGTAGGTTATTGCTGGCAAAATACCTGATCTAGTCCAAAATCTTCTTAAGGCAGAGCTGCAAGGAGAATAGTTGAATAGGTTGAAGTGTGGCTTCACCTCATGGCTGTTGGGCAGGGGCTGCAAGTGCTTCTGGCCTGGTTTTAGTTCAAAATACAGCAAGTCCCCTTTAACCACCAGTGGTGCAGCTGGCTGCAGGTTCTGCCAGGAGGAGGTTTTGGTCTTGTTTGAAACCATGTTCCCTCTAATGGGAAGAATTATTTTTGAGAATAAGGTTTGAGAGGAGTTAGAGAAGGATATTGAGGTTTTGTGAAACCGTTCCCTGTCTAGTACCGCGACACGAGTGAAACCCTGCTGTGTCCCAGCACAGTCCTTAGCAGGTGACACCCGCGCTCTGACGGCCACGGCCCGAACCCAGTGCTGCTGTGTCCGTGCTGAGGAAGCAGCCGTGGGAATCGCTGTGGGTTGGGAGAGGGTTTTGCCAGTCACCTGAGCGGCCGTGAAAGCCGGGCCAGTCCCCCGTTTGTGGCACCAACGGGACGAAAGTGAGTGTTGGCCCCTTGGCCCGCTCACGTGGCGGCTGCTCCCGTTTGCAGAGATCAGGCTGTAAATGAAGTTGTTCCGTTGGGTCACTCTTGATTTACACACAAGCTGTTTCCACCAAAGCACCTGGGGCCTTTTGTTCAGGCTTGTGAATAAGCCTCTTTCAGGCACCAGCAGTAATTTAGAGCTCTGCTTTCTTCAATAGGTAAAAGGCAAGTACAGGAGCGACAGTTTTTCCTCTTTGTCTGTGCAGCTTTACACATTTATTTATGTTTTATTTAAGAGAGGTAATGGGACTTTACCAGTAATAGAAATTGTTATACACTGGGGTAGATTCAGAAGCTATCTAAGGTGTTGCTTATTTTC